CTGGAGAGCATCTTCAACTTGGGGGCCGTGACTCTAGCTGGTCCTTGAGTATTTCCCACAAGCTTGGATACAGGCCCTTTCTTCCTTTACAGGGCAGGGGCTGGGACAAGTGAAATGCCCAATGAAGAACCATCAGGCACTGTGTCCCTCAGCCTGGCCACAGAGCTCCATCAATTTATTCAACCAACATTTATTGGTTATCTATGGTATACTGTGCCAAGGGTAGGTGGTCTAAAAGTAACTGATACACCTTGTGCAATGCCACTAAACACATGCAATGCCACTAAACACATGCAACCACTAGAAATGATACAGAAAGAGTATTTAATGATTTAGAGAAGGAATATATTCTATAGGAAAAGGAAAGTTACAAATATGTTATTCACAGAATAATGGTATTTTCTTTTTTAAGATTTTATTTATTTATTTGAGAGAGAGTTGTGGGTGCACACATGTGAGTGGGAGGGGGGACAGAGGGAGAGAGAGAGAGAGAATCTCAAGCAGATTCTGCACTGAGTGCAGATTCTGCACAGAGCCCAACATGAAGCTCGATCTCAAAACCCTGAGATCATGACTTTAGCCAAAATCAAGAGTCAGGCACTTAAGGGACTAAGGCACCCAGGCACCCTGAACAATGGTATTTTCTATAAGAGAAAAACTTCCTTTCAGCAGAGAAATTGGAAGGATGTGTTCATAATATCAATACACACAATTGAATATCAATTCAAAATACAATACATGCATTTTCTCTGAGTGGTAGGATTACAGTTAATTTATAATTTCTTCATTATTACTATTTTCCAGATTCTCTATAATGCACATGTATAATTTTGAATCTGGGAAAAAAGGAAAGAAAAATTTTATGTACAATGAAAAGCACAGCTCTTGTGTTCCCAGAGATGCTCACAGGCAGCACAGGACTCAATCATGCCCACATAGAAGTGGATTGATGGTGGATGTTAGGAGACTCTGGGTCCTATTTCAACTTATTATTTTAGCAGGCAGTTATCTTGTTTAGCTTTAGCACGCAGCTACTGGCCTATTTTGTGGGCTGTGATTCCAGTGACAGTTTAATTGTGAGGGCTCTTGCTGTTTCATTATGGTCTGCTTATTTATCTGGTGCTTCTGGGGCTCCCTTGAGCCCTGCTGGTGCCACCTGAGGAGATAGGTGTGGTTCCAGATGGGGCACCAGTGTGGCAGGTATGGGGAATCATGTCAAAGGGGACAAGAGGTTTCTCTGGTTGGGTGTTTATTGTGACAAAATTCCCTTATTGTGATGGTGACCTACCCTCAAACCCTAGGGTCTCTAGTGGGAGATCAGGATCTCAGCCCTGTGGGGATAAAGAAGCTGACTGTGGGGTGGGGAGGGAGTCCCCCTTGCCTGAGCCACCAGGTCCAGGAAGCCTCTCAGTGGAGGAACTACCTCTCAAGCCTGGGTAGGGAGCTCTGCCCTTGGCTCTTTATGGGGAATGGGGTTCTCCAATTGATCCCCCTAGCGTGTAGTGTTCTAGGAACTCTCATCCATACAGGGAGGGAAGAGCCTACAGGTGTCTCCTACGGTAGGTGGGCATGGGAAACACGGGCTCTGGGTCTCCTTCTTCTCCTGGCAGGGGTGGGGAGCAAAGAGATGGCATCACTGTGTCCTTCCTGCATCTAGGGCCAGATGCAGGAGACCAGTTCTCCTTCCTACCACCTGTCAGAGTTCTGGGTGACTGCCTGCCCCGTGGGTTCTGGCCGGAAGCCAGCTGGAGCAGACAGGAGCAGGGAGAGTGGGACCTTTGTCATCTCCACAACACAAGGCCCTTGTCGGTCTCATTCACTTCCTCTCTCTCCTCCATCCTTTACACTTTCTGTTGAGGTATAATTCACGTACTATAAAGGTCACCATCTCACATGTCCAGTTTGGTGATCTTAGCACAGGCACCAGCTATGCAGCCAGCATGACTAGGAGCTCCGGGCACCGGGATGGCCCAGAAGGAACTCCGCCCTCCCTTGCCCCTCCTGCCAGCCCCTGACAACTGCTCATCTACCTTCTGTCTACAGGAATTTGTCTTTGCTGGACACTTCACAGAAATGGAATCGTACAGTAAAATGGTGCTTTATGACTGGCTTCTTTTGCTTTGCGAGTCATCAAGATTCACCCATGTCATATGTAGTATTTTATTCTTTTTATTTGCAAATAAGATTCCATTAAATAGATTCTGTTTAGTGTACCCTTTAAACACTTGAATACAGACGTAGTTTCCACTTTGGGCTGTGATGAATAATGCTGCCATGGACATTCATGCACAAGTTATTGTGTGAACATGTATTTTTATTGTTCTTGGTTTTGTGCCTAGGAGTGGAGTTGTTGGCACATATGGATGCGGTTCTGACTTATGCTACAACAGGGCTCAACCTCGGAAGCATGATACTAATTGCAAGAAGCCAGCCACAAAGGACCACATGTTGCATGATTCCATCTAAATGAATGTCCACAACAGGAAAATCCATTGGAGCCCGAATGCTAGATTCGTGGTTGCCTAACGATGGTGTCTTGGCTGGGGAAGAGGGGTGACGTCTAATGTGTTCCAGGTTTGAGAGGACATGAGGAAAACATTCTAAAGTTGACTGTAAGAATGGTCGCACATTTCTGAGAATACACTAAAAACCCTTGACTTGTACACCTTAGATAGGTGACTTGTATGGAATGTGAATTACTATCACAGTTAAGGCTGTTCTTTAAAAACAGAGAGGGAAGGAAGGAGGAAGAGAGTAGGGGGATAGGGCTGGGGCCCCTACCTCTGTGTCCCCCAGGGCGAGAGGTCAGTGTTTCCGGGAGCCACAAAGCTCCAGCCCTAATGTGTCATCTGAAGCAAGGGCCGCTGTAAATCACCGGACCACTGAGGAATGGCTCTGTAAACATGCGCCAGCAGCCTGGCTACATAGTGATTACCTCTTTATTGACCCTCGGATACCTTCTGGGGATTGAGTTGCTTGGAACTCTATGTGCCTTCTGAGTCCCCCTGTGCAAGTCGGAGCCCCTGTTTCCCAGCCAGGGAATCCCAGCGACCCCAACCTCTGTGCTGTAAGTGTCAGAGATGATAAAGAGGGGCCAGATCGCCCATAGGAAATGGTGGGAACCTTACCTCCAAAACGGAGGCAACAGGACTGGGCAGTGTTCTGGGGAATTCCTCAGAGCTGCTCTCCCGCAAGTACCCATGGGTTGGGTAACAGAAGAGGGGGCAACCAGATATTAGACTGGGGAGCTCTGGCTTTTCCAAAACCCTTCTGTCCTGGTGGCTTGCGCCAGGTTTGATCAGTTTTATTAGATTGAAGTTTCAAGATACATACAAAGTAAGGAAGGGATGTGCACTTCATAGAGGGAATGTTGGTGGCATGGAGCTAATGCAGTAGCTTACACCAGGTGAAGGCCAGAGTGGGCCTCAGGACCCCACAAGAGCAGCAGAATGTCACACAGCCTGTGGTTGGAGCCTGCCCTGGCCACAGTAACCTCTTCAGGTACAGTATACCAGCCATGCACTCTGCATTCATTAGCTTAAACAAAGCAATTACAGATAGACATATATAGTGATGGTTCTCAGTTCAAAGAGAAATGATTTAGAACCACCTGGTCCTTTGAATTCAGGAGATTGCTCCTGCTTGTCAATTTTAGAAGGGTGGGAAGAGACGAAAAGGAGAGAATATCCTGGGAAATATTTTGGAAACTGCAAAGCACTAGGCAAACACCATCTTACCTTTATGCTCAGGTTTCTTACTCAGGGACCCATCTGAGGACATAGCAGTAGAGGCCCAAGAGCCCTTGCTGTGCCTGTCCTCCAGAGAGCAGCAGAGCAACCATACCAGCTCCCCACTCTTACAGCCCTGACTTCACACAGGCCCCATGTTCACACCCCACTGTGCCAGGAATTGCCCTTGTTAGGGAGAATTTAGCAGTTTTCAGAATCCCGTGTGCCTACTCTTTCCTCTGGTGGCACGACAGATCGGTGGGGCTGGAAGGGCAGGGATAAGCATCTCCAGGTACAAAGGGGCTCAGAGGGATCAGGATCCTAAGTGCTTCATCCTCACAATCTGGTGTCATGGGGAGGGTCAAAGGTGGTGGCTTGGGATCCCTGGGTGGCGCAGTGGTTTGGCGCCTGCCTTTGGCCCAGGGCGCGATCCTGGAGACCCGGGATCGAATCCCACGTCGGGCTCCTGGTGCATGGAGCCTGCTTCTCCCTCTGCCTATATCTCTGCCTCTCTCTCTCTCTCTGTGACTATCATAAATAAATAAAAAAAATTAAAAAAAAAAAAAAAGGTGGTGGCTTGTCAGAGAGGCCCAGCTTCCCTCAGCCCAAATGCTGATGTCATTACCCAAACACCCCTGTGGTTCTTAGCCTCTTAGCTCTCATAACTGTGCAAATCTGACTATACTGGAACCAGGCCTACGGGGATCCAGAAGCTCCCCATGCCCGGATCCTAACTGCCCCCCTGAGGGAGCCTTGGCATCCCATCACACAGGAACTGGAGCGCACGCAAGCAGTGCTGCAGGGGCCCTCAGTGTCCTGAAGCTTGTGGCCAAAACGTCCATTAAGACGTGTAGAGGTACTTCTTTCCACAAAGAGGAGACCCAAATATTTTTTCGAAGCTTGTGCCTCTTTCAATTTCCCACTTTTGAAAGAAACATGGATCCAGAGAAATACTTCTCTATTATAAGGGAAAAAAGAGATAATGCAAGTATAACAATAGGCAAGCAGTGACCCTCTGCTCCTCACCTGTGGATGTGAAGGGGAGCCATGGGGCAAATAGGATTGAAGTGGGAGCTGCTTCTCACTTCCATGCCATTGTCCCCAGGGGAAAGTGTGTCTGGTTTCACAAGATGTTCTGAGTTCCCAGGGAACATGGAAATGTGCGCTTTTATATGCCACCTCCCCATTCTCATATGGAATACAAATCTCGTCTTCCTCTAAAGCTCCATGAAGACGAGCTATGCAAAGTGCATTGGGGGCCTTTTTTTTTTTTTTAATATGGAACCCTTGATGAACTTGCATGCCATCCTTAGGTGGGGGCTGTGCTAACCTTCTCTGTATTGTTTCAATTTTAGTATATGTGCTACTGAAACAAGCACCTTGGTATCCAAATCTGATCTCCAAGTTTGGACGTCTTGCTCACGTTTTATACAAGAAGTTGACTCACCCTCTGCATATGTGCCCCAAAGACCTGAGAGGGGGCACAAAGAGGTTCCCAAGTGCTGTCCTACCTGAAAGCATTCAGGGGACACCCCACTCTCTCCAACTCTGAGGATCAACCACACAAGCATATACTGAGCCTGATTGGTTTTATTCTTAGGAAATAAAGGTGAATTAATTGACCACACGGTTCTACATTTTTGGTTTTATGATAAGGTGGAAAATCAGCTCCTCATTCCAAAAGAGTAGAGAATGATTTAGTGAATTTTGTTCAAAAGCCTTGCCCTATTAAGTTGAGGATATGGCTTCAACCATCAATATTGGTTAGCAAAAAGTGTAGATGTGGCCCCTGAGAATCCCAAGTTCAAGGGCTTATAGCTTAATATAAACAGGCTGTGAACTTTTGACTAAAACAGGTAAAGTAATGACAAACAAACCATGATGAAATGAAAACTAATCAGAGGAGAATAATTGTCTCAATTTTTTCGAGAAGCCCCACTAATCCTAAAGGATATGATCTCACCTTCTAGCCACGCAGCTGCCGTCCTCACAGGGCAGCTGTGGACAGGCTGACATCCTGGGCTGTGTGTGCACCTTTGCTCCCTGCCCCAGCCACCTGGGGGGAAAGCTTGGCCAGCGTCTTCCTCCCTCACAGCCTCTCTCAAGGTCCTCTCCTTTTCTCTCCTGACCAACGAGCCCCATGCTTCAAGCTCTCCTTGGTATGCTCATGCACACCTGTATTTTTCCTCCTTGTTCACAGAATTTAAAAGAAAGCATTTGAGGAAATTACAACAACTGACAAAAATGAAGTTGAACAAATTCACTGCCACCTTCCTTCAGTATATTCCCCACACAGCAGCCAGTGATCCATTAAAATTCAAAGATTCTATCAAACCTTTGCTCCAGGCCTGCAGTGGCTCTCTAATTCTCCAGTGAATGCCATGGTCCTTCAAATGACTTCCAAGTGTTGCTATGATTTGCTCCCTACCTTCCCTCAACTCACATCTATGGTCTCCCCTCCTCCTGCTCTCTCCCTCCGCCATTCATTCAGTCAGACACACTGACTCCTCAAGCACACCAGGTCCCCCCCTACCCCAGGGAATTTTGCACTTGCTGCTCCTTCTGCCTGGAATCACTTCCTCTGATAGCCACATCCCTAAGCTACATGACTTACTCCCTCACTTCCTTCAGATCTTTATTCAAACGACATCTCATTGTGGTTCTGATTTGCATTTGTCTGATGATTACTGATGCTGAGCACCTTATTAGATACTTCTGGGCCATTTGTATGTCTTCTTCAGAAAAAAAATGTCCATTCAGGTCCTTTGCCCATTTTTAATAATATTTGTTTTTTGCTATTGAGTTTTCATAGAAACAGAGAAGAGAGTGGTGGTTGCCAGGGGCAGAGGGTAGGGGAAATAGAGGCAGATCAAAGAATAGAAACTTCTAGTTACAAGAAGAAGAAGAAGAAAGAAGAAGAAGAAGAAGAAAAGAAACCTCTAGTTACAAAAGAAATAAATTCTGAAGATCTAATGTACAGACTATAGCTTATAATGTGGTTTGTATACTTTAAAGTTGCTGAAAGTAGACCTTAAGTGTTCTCACCAAAAAAAGAAGAAAAGAAAGAAAGAAAGAAAGGAAAGAAAGAAAGAAAGAAAGAAAGAAAGGAAGGAAGACAGAAAGAAAGAAAGAAAGAAAGAAAGAAAGAAAGAAAGAAAGAAAGAAAGAAAGAAGAAAGAAAAAAGGAGTTAGCGATGTAAGATGATGGGTATGCCAATTATGTGGATCTCTGTAATCACTCCACAATGTATATGTATATCATACCATCACATTTAAATATATACACTTTAAATATATACAAGTATATCTGTCAATTATTCCTCAAAAGTTGAGGGAAAAATGTCACCTCCCTGAGACTGTCCCTGGCCGCAGTATCTAGCACTTGGAGTTACCGTCCCCAGCTCCACCACCCCTCCCTGGGCTCCCTCTGGCTCTGCTAGCCCTCAGGCATCACTCCTTTTCTGAGGTGCAGTCTGTTTTACATATTACCTTGTCTGTTAACCACTTCCCTGACAGCAAGGATTTTGTTCTCTTTACTTGACTCATGCTTGACTCCCAATAAATGTTGAAAATCTTATTCCTTTAAAAAAAGTCGCAGAATAAAAATAATATCTACTCCCTGGTAAGAGGACATGGAGAAAGCTCTGCTCCCATACTCTGTGCTGTGTGGGGACCTGGGCAGGTCCTTTGTCGCTGAGTCTTGGTCCCCTCTATAAAATGGGCACAATTATACCTGCCTGTCTTAACTCACAGGATGTTTGTGAGATACCCATGAAAGAACAGTGCCAAAAGTCCTCCAAACACTGCCCAGTGTCCCTGGGGCAGGAGCAAATTTGCCTCATTGAGAACCACTGCTCTATATGGATCTGTTAGTTGTTATAAAAACAATAATATCCATTCCTTAAATTCTTTAACTGGGGTGCCTCCCGACAAAATTAAAAACTTGCTTTCCTCTCTGGTCGATTAAATTGTGTTCTTGTGAGAATGCACTAGAAACTTGCCATGCCCAAGGCAGCCCTTAGACTACTCCAGCCTTGCCTGTCTCTAGGATGCTCTTTCCTCCAGCTGGAGGGCAGTAAAATGTTTTCAGAGTTTATGTCTCAATTCAGAGCCTGAATGAGATCCCCAAAGTACTGGGGAGTCCATGCAATGTTTCAAAGAAGGATCTGGTAGTAAGTCTTTGGGCGGGAAGCACTTCCCTTCTGCATCAGCGACCATAACCATGCCCTTTGGGAAAAGCTCCAGGTGTGGGGAGGATGCAGTTATGAACAGGCTGACAGCTGCTCGAATGTATTTAATGCAGTCCAAGTGGCCCCTTTGGGAGGCCTGGCTTTGAGGGGTACCTCTCAGAGGGAAGGGAAGTCTTCTCAAGGATAACAACCACCCCAAATTTAACACAATGCACTCCAATGTGCAAAGAAAATGTTGCTTTTTTGTTTAAATTATCCTATACCTGTTTTTATCTTCTACCTGGATCCCCGCCCACAGTGAGTGGAGCAAAGACACCTTTCCAGGAAACAGCATCTCAATGCGTTTCTGATTTAAACAGTCTCTTTCTAATAGTTCCAAGAGCAGCTGTCCACTTGGGTAGTCACTCACTCACTCTTTCTCCAAATGGTGATCCGAGTGTGAGCGAAAGGCCTGGGATGAGGGAAGCAGCAGCCCATGGAGGGTCAAGGAGCTGCTGGCTCTGCTGGTCACCTCCACGGGATTCCACTCTGTGAGGTCTGCCCTGGGCTGTGGCAAGTGTGCTGAGGCCCATGGCTGCTCCCACAGCAGGGAAGGCACCATCTGCTGCTGCTGCCACTGGCCCAGCCTAGGCCTCTGGCCTGTGTCATCCTCAGTGCCTCTCTCCTCCCAACACTAGATTGTTGTTAGTCCACACTGAACTTCACATGCTTTTATGGGGCAAGCAGGAACTCCTGGACCCCATGCATGCCTGGCCTAGTTTGCAGGGAGTCAGGAAGAAAGCTCAGGCCCAACCTTCTAGATAGCGGCCACTCTTTCCCAGCCTGAATTTTATCTGCTATCAAGCCAAGGTGGGGCTTCTTTCAAGAGCCTAGAATCTCATTCATTCATTTATTCATTCAACAAGTATCTATCCACTGATCACTTCTATGCCAGGCACTGTTGTGGGTGTGGAGATGGAGCAGCAAACAAAACAGTCTCCAGTCCAGAGGGGAAAAAAAACAGCGAGCAATCAAATGAAATACACAGTGCACCAGAGGGTGCTACACGCTGTTGAGAGATGTATATCCAGGAAGGTGGACAAAGGACCACTGGGAGAAGAGGGAGCTATCTTAAATGCAGTGAGAAGCCTTCTCTGATAAGGTGCTATGTGGAAAGATTTGAATGGAGACCTAGAATCAGAAAGGGGTGAGTCAGGAGACTATTTGCTGTTGGAATCTTTCAGGCAAAGAGAATAGCAAGTACAAAAGTCCTGAAGCAAGAGTGGGCTTGGTGGATTTGCAAAACAACATGAAGTCTGGGGTGATCAGTCAGAAAAGGCTTTAGAAACACCCAGGTAGGGGCACCTGGGTGGCTCAGTGGTTGAGCATCTGCTTTCCACTCAGGGTGTGATCCCGGGGTCCTGGAATCGAGTCCCACATTGGGATTCCCCCACGGAGCCTGCTTCTCCCTCTGCCTATGTCTCTGCCTCTGTGTGTCTCTCATGAATAAATAAATAAAACCTCAAAAAAAGAGAAACACCTAGGTAGATGTGGGAGTGCCTCAAAACATTAAACAGCTCACTCCCCATGGTAATAGGCTCTAATTGGTTGGTCTCTTTGTCCTGACTCTTCTCTGACTCAAGAGCCAGCCTTGCTGTGATGATGGGCGGAGGAGCATCAGGCATCAGGTCTGGTTTCCTGGTTCTCCCTCTGTCTTGTTCCTTCCTACCAACAACCTCTAGCCCAGAAGCCGGGGTGGGGGGGAAGGAGGGGGTTCTTTCAGTCATGTTGGAGAACTCCCCCACTGGATATTTTCTCTTTTCAGTATGACTTACAATAAAATTCTATGATCAGAGTCATGGCAAGTCTCACTCCTTATGTCTAAAATGAGAAGCTTGGGACTTTTGAAATCCCTACTTCCTTTTCCCAAAAAACCTGGCTTTGTCTCTGCGGGTCCACAGGGTCCCTGTGTGAGAATTCGAAAATGTAGCCAGCTCTCAGAGGATGCAGCCAGGCACCACTGTGTGCAGCTTGCCAAGCCAAGCCCAGGCTGCATTCTTGCCCCTTCCTCATAGCCCTCAGTTAGCAATCCTCTAGTCGACACCTGGTGTCAAGCCTGTTAACCACTGAAGATTTGACAAAGTCATCTTTGAGATTCAACATTGATCAATGACTTAGATACCCTAGAAATATCAATTCTGAATTTCCCT